CCCCCCCATGGAGAATGGCAGACCTGCAGGCTGCATACAAGTGATCTCGGTGACATCGCCGGGATAACTTGTACAAAACAAGCGGCGGCTTCCCTGCTGTACATTTAGCCCTACTTGCCCAAAGTCGAGCTAAATGTAGAAAACAACTACCTGCCTGGCGCCTGGAACTGTATGTCCCAGGCATCAGGAGATAGGAATTCCACACCCTTGCTGCCCCTCTACTCCCTGCACCCTCAAGGCTGGGCCTTGGTTGGCCTTGTGGGAAATCCAGCCTTGAGCACAAGCAGTGTTAGTACCTGAATATGACCTGATAGCAGGCTCTTGTACAGCAGAGCACAGGCTGGAAGAGAAAGGTGCAGGGCTGGGAGCCAATTGTATGCGGTGCTCATGAGCTAACAAACAACTCTGCCAATAGGAGGAGACAGCACAGTGACCAAGAGAAGAGCTCACCAATCTACTGCTTCTTTTACACTGTCCACAGACTGGGGGAGGGACAAGACTGAGCTGTATTACAGTAACTGCAGCAGGGAAAAATCAGGTCTACTGCCCTGCAAGACGGGGCTGTGCCGTGTGATCAGGTCTACTGCCCTGCAAGATGGGGCTGTGCCGTATGATCAGGTCTACTGCCCTGCAAGATGGGGCTGTGCCGTATGATCAGGTCTACTGCCCTGCAAGACGGGGCTGTGCCGTATGATCAGGTCTACTGCCCTGCAAGATGGGGCTGTGCCGTATGATCAGGTCTACTGCCCTGCAAGACGGGGGTGTGCCGTATGATCAGGTCTACTGCCCTGCAAGATGGGGCTGTGCCGTATGATCAGGTCTACTGCCCTGCAAGACGGGGCTGTGCCATATGATCAGGTCTACTGCCCTGCAAGACGGGGCTGTGCCGTATGATCAGGTCTACTGCCCTGCAAGACGGGGCTGTGCCGTATGATCAGGTCTACTGCCCTGCAAGACGGGGGTGTGCCGTATGATCAGGTCTACTGCCCTGCAAGATGGGGCTGTGCCGTATGATCAGGTCTACTGCCCTGCAAGACGGGGCTGTGCCGTATGATCAGGTCTACTGCCCTGCAAGATGGGGCTGTGCCGTATGATCAGGTCTACTGCCCTGCAAGACGGGGCTGTGCCGTATGATCAGGTCTACTGCCCTGCAAGATGGGGCTGTGCCGTATGATCAGGTCTACTGCCCTGCAAGACGGGGCTGTGCCATATGATCAGGTCTACTGCCCTGCAAGACGGGGCTGTGCCGTATAATCAGGTCTACTGCCCTGCAAGACGGGCTGTGCCGTATAATCAGGTCTACTGCCCTGCAAGATGGGGATGTGCCGTATGATCAGGTCTACTGCCATGCAAGACGGGGCTGTGCAGTATGATCAGGTCTACTGCCCTGCAAGATGGGGCTGTGCCGTATGATCAGGTCTACTGCCATGCAAGACGGGGCTGTGCCGTATGATCAGGTATAATGCCCTGCAAGACGGGGATGTGCCGTATGATCAGGTCTACTGCCCTGCAAGACGGGGCTTTCCTGTATGATCAGGTCTACTGCCATGCAAGATGGGGCTGTGCAGTATGATCAGGTCTACTGCCATGCAAGACGGGGCTTTCCTGTATGATCAGGTCTACTGCCCTCCAAGATGGGGCTGTGCTGTATGATACAGCCGTGTAAATCTCAGGACTGGATGGACAAGAATAATACTCCTTAGGCAGACAAAACAACTGCTATGTATGCACCTCATCTGTGTATTTAGCCGTTTGCCCCGGGGTTGAGCTTTAAATATTACATAACGTGTCTAAGGTGCCAACTCGTGCACAGCTCAGGAGGTTCTACACACCCTGTCTGGGTTGAGGGTTGCTGTAGGAGATGGGGAGCTAGTTGGATATACCCCCAAGTGGGCGGGAACAGAGCCAGGGATCCCACCTCTGCGGTTCCTAGCTTGTATTAGAAGGGTGACCGCTCCAGCCAGACTCCACCTATAAATAGAGGGTACATGGACCCTTTTTGGAAGCATTCGAAGATGTACTTGTGCAATGGTTGTGCCAATGTCTAAAACAGAGGTATTAGATAATCCCTGCTCTAGTGTTCATTGTTTATAGAGCCGTCGGTGGCGTAACTGGCGACCGGATGGAGGGCCACAAAGGGCTCGCTGAGCTTATGCTCGTCCTTCAGCGATGCCACCTGGTCTGAGATGGAGGAGAAGGCCAGCTGGTCATGCTCCACAATGTTCTCCTGGTCCTCGTCCTTGCCCCTCTTCACATAGAACAGCTTACGGAATGTTTTCAGTTCCTGAAGTTCGCAAAATGCTTCCAGGACCACCAGCATGGCCACCAGGCCCAGCAGCAAGTAGCCTGAGGAAAGGAACAAAGAACAAACATGAGGAGGATGAGAACTGAAAGCCCAACTGCAGATAATACACATCATAGTATGGGATTGGGTGGGGAAGTATTAGTCTGTGGAATGTGGGATAGTATGGGGAATACGTTGCCAGCACTCTTCAATGTCCTTTCAATAAAACCACCTTTATCTGCGTTTTGGAACAACCAGGGGTCCCTTCATCGGGCAGCAAAGTGACACAAGGAAGTGAGAAGAATTTCTATAATGGGGACACATGCAACTATACAGAAAGGCACAAAAGAAGCAAGTATACAAAATACATGCATCAGTGAAAACATATTAAAGAGACCCTGTCACCAGACCATCCAACAACAACCTTCCCATAATGCATGTATGTTATTTACCTGTAAAACCTCCCCTGTATAGACATCAAAAGCCCTGAGACTTCTGAGGAGCGCCGCCATCTTGGATGTGATGTCAGTAGGCCGAGCAGGCTCCGAGCAGTCACTGAAGTGACACTCTATAGCAGGGGTAGCCAAACTCCGGCCCTCCAGCTGTGGTGGAACTACAAATCCCATGATGTATCTCCCTCTGGGAGTCATGTCTGTGGCTGTGAGAATCTTGCAATGCCTCATGGGATTCGTAGTTCCACCACAGCTGGAGGGCCAGAGTTTGGCTACCCCTGCTTTAAACCAATGTCGTGATGTTGACGATGGGCTCAGAGAGCATACACGCTCCCTGTGTTTTGCTGTATAGCACAGCATTGGTAGGGGGATCACTCTATTATGTCAATGGATCACAGTTCTTCTGCCAGGCTTGTCAGGTTCCTGTAAAACCTCCCCTGTATAGACATCAAAAGCCCTGAGAATTCTGAGGAGCGCCGCCATCTTGGATGTAATGTGGGTAGCCCGGGCAGGCTCAAAGCAGTCACTGAAGTGACACTCTATAGTATTCCCGTTTGTTCCTCACTAGGTGGATACCAAAAAAATATATGTATGGAGGTAAAGGGAGAAGCAGAGGAGCTGGACCTGAATAGACAGTCATTGGACACTCCTAGAAGAAGAGAGGGCTATGATATGCAGGGAGGAAGTGGGCCATGCTAGGGAACGGACTTCCTGGAGTAGTAACATTTTCTAGCAATAAATCTAATTTATGGAAAGAATACTAGAACTTTTACGTTGGTGACAGGGTCTCTTTAAGATCATCCCTCGGACATAAGTCTACCTATCCTCTTCTAGGCCTGCAGGGGTAGGAGATCAGATGACACCTCATCTGTCTGCTGTAAAGTGTTGTACAAACAGCAAGCTTGCCAATGTCTGTGTGTAAATATTGAAGTGAATTGTTTTCTCAACAGGAGAAGAAATGACACAACACTTTAACACTGGATACAAAACAGAGGAGCAAGTGGTCTGATAATTCACACAAAACACAGCAGGCTCTGGTGCCTGAGGGGCCGGGCTAGACTCCCGGGAACAGAGGCCAATACATAGCAAAGATTGACCATCAGGGCCGGGCCGAGGTGACTGCCTTGTGCGCTTCAGCAGGTGGGGGGTGCAAATAAAAACAGGACCTGCAACCTATGGTGCTGAAGTTCACAGTTCATGGGGGGGCAGACATTGGCCTCTTCACCTTGGATGCGACAGGATCTTCTCTCAGTACTGCTGACCACCCTCAAGTAATGTTCTGCTGGATGTATAAACATGAAGACTCAATCTAGGTCATCTAATGGTGGTTCTGACCTTTTCCTGTAATACATATTTTATTACTTCTTGAGATGTTTCACTTCCTGTCTGGGGAAAGGTAGTCACCAGGACAGGAAGTGAAAGGGGGTCTCACCGGGAAGCAGTAAAACCAGGCAGGGGTTCCAAGGCTTCCTCACCCTATCCAAATCTTAACTGGACATGATCATCACATGAACATGTTGCTTTGCCCTGAATGGGCAAAGCACAGGTTCTCTTTAACCCTTTGCTGCTACTTCCCAATGGCTCTATTATTAGGACCAAATGCCGGGAGGTGGAGTCCTGATCATGTGACCGCTGTGATTGACTTTTACAATGGTCACATCAGGGCCCATCCGCCAGCTCACAATTTACAATGACTGATCTATGACAGCATGGTCGGTGTGCAGGGGTGAGCGTGCTGCCGTCCATTTTGAAGGTCCACCCGCCGTGCTGCCACATTTATACGTTATGCCAGCGGAAAGCGGTTAACAGTTCATGTTTGTTGACCATTAACATCTCCTGCAGAAGACAAGGCACCCAAAAACTTGTGTTTCCATGACTTGTTCAGCCTGGTTGGGGTTCTCCATTCATTCAGATGGAAAATTAAACACAAGAATGTTCTGTTGGAAACGTTCTGAAATACTTACAAGTGATGCCAAGCTTGTAGAGCTCCCGGAATCGCTGGTTGTAACCCTCGCCGGGGACGTAATCGCCCAGGCCGATGGTGCTGAGTGAGATGAAGCAGAAGTAGAAGGATTCCAAGAAGTTCCAGTCCTCCTCCATGATGGAGAAGACAGCAGCGGGGATGAAGAAGAAGCAGGTGACTGTGAGGAGCCCCAGGAGGAAGGCGTGGACCATGGCCACCATGTGCTTGGGGTAGCCCCAACGCAGGTGGATGTAGAGGACCGGCCTCCGCGCCACGTAGACGAGGATCCTCTGGACCAGAGCTGTGAATAGGAGGAAGGTGAACGGGATCCCGATGACGGAATACAAGATGCAGAATGTCTTTCCTCCGTCTGACAATGGAACGGTGTGTCCGTACCCTAAAACCACAAAATGACATGTGTTAGTGTGTAATGGGGAACATACCAATCCCAGAGACGAGCGATGTCTTAGCACGAAGCTTCCGATAGTACCACCACCCGGCAGTTTCCGATAGTACCACCACCCGGCAAGTTTCCGATAGAACCACCACCGGGAAGCTTCCGAAAGTACCACCACCCGGCAAGTTTCCGACAGTACCCCCACCCGGCAAGTTTCCGATAGTAGCACCACCCGGCAAGTTTCCGATAGTAGCACCACCCGGCAAGTTTCCGATAGTAGCACCACCCGGCAAGTTTCCGATAGTAGCACCACCCGGCAAGTTTCCGATAGTACCACCATCCGGCAGGTTTCCGATAGTACCACCACCAGGAAGTTTCTGATAGTACCACCACCAGGAAGTTTTTGCTGCTGTACCAGTATTGCTGCTTTACCAGTGAACTTCTCTTATTTACCCCGTTTTGGTCTGTTATATCTTTTCAATAAGGGCCAAAAAATATCTGGGGACCCTGCCTGAAGTCTTGTCAGCTGATTCATATTCTCTCTCTCTCTCGTAGAGCGCTAGGCCGAGGCAAGGATAAAACAGGTCCAGTAATCCACATTACATAGGCGGCTTCCCATCAGCCAGGTTAACCTTAGGGGTTCCCTAGAGTGTTCTGAAGAAGTGAGAGTGCCGCTCGGGTACAGGTGCCTCTATGTCAATGGTTCTCCACCAGGGTTGCTTAGGACCCTAGAGTTCCTCCTGATGCTGATAGGGGATCCTTGAGCAGTGAGCAATGGTGGATTGATCCAACAACTACACTGACCACCAATTTAAGGGGTCACTTCTGCACCGGCCACCAATGTAAGGGGTTACTTCTACTCTGCATACCTTATCCTGCCAGGTCTCCTCCTCTCTCGTACAGCTGTCGGGCTCTCGTTCCATGACCAAGTGCCCTACTTTTCAGAGGGGGTGACACCTGACTCTGTTGGTGTCACCCGTTGCCGGCCACACTCCCCTTGTGACGCCACTGGCTATGGGTATAAACCTTTTTACCAGGGGTTCTTCAAGACCTGATAATTATTTCAAGGGTTCCTCAGAGGTAAATTAGTTGAGAAAGGCTGCTCTATGTTATTGAGAAAAGGAGAGGAGGTGGTGTCCTGTACTCCTAACATACTTCCTGTCCTGGGATCACACTACGACCCCTCTATACAGTACAGTGAGTAAGCGTTGTCACCCTGGGACAGGAAGTGCGTTACTGGCAGGATCACCAGGTGAAAATAAAGGAACAAGGCCGCAAACAGAAAATGAATGTAGCCGCCACATCTAGGGACTGAGAAGACTTTCTATGTTCTTAGGTTTAGACACGCTTGTCATAATCCAGGCAGACTCCAGAGAGACGTGACAGACGAGGGATAATCCTTTAGTCAAGCAATAGAAGATTTGTTCTGTGTATCAGGTATCTCTTCACACAGACTAATTCCCATAGAATAAAATATAATACATGATCGCCTTACAGCAAGATCTGACAAGACGTGCAATCAAGGTGGGGCAATCATACAGATCGGCTGCCAAGACAATACAATGAATCACCAACAGACCAAACCCTGCATTGTGTATATAACCCATGATGTCATTGTATGTATCCCCCTTATAGTAACCCATGATGTCATTGTATGTATCCCCTATATAGTAACCCATGATGTCACTGTATGTATCCCCTATATAGTAACCCATTATGTCATTGTATGTATCCCCCTTATAGTAACCATGATGTCATTGTATGTATCCCCTATATAGTAACCCATGATGCCATTGTATGTGTCCCCTATATAGTAACCCATGATGTAATTGTATGTATCCCCTTATAGTAACCCATTATGTCATTGTATGTATCCCCCTATATAGTAACCCATGATGTCTTTGTATGTATCCCCTATATAGTAACCCATGATGCCATTGTATGTGTCCCCTATATAGTAACCCATGATGTAATTGTATGTATCCCCTTATAGTAACCCATTATGTCATTGTATGTATCCCCCTATATAGTAACCCATGATGTCTTTGTATGTATCCCCTATATAGTAACCCATGATGCCATTGTATGTGTCCCCTATATAGTAACCCATGATGTAATTGTATGTATCCCCTTATAGTAACCCATTATGTCATTGTATGTATCCCCCTATATAGTAACCCATGATGTCTTTGTATGTATCCCCTATATAGTAACCCATGATGCCATTGTATGTGTCCCCTATATAGTAACCCATGATGTAATTGTATGTATCCCCTTATAGTAACCCATTATGTCATTGTATGTATCCCCCTATATAGTAACCCATGATGTCTTTGTATGTATCCCCTATATAGTAACCCATGATGCCATTGTATGTGTCCCCTATATAGTAACCCATGATGTAATTGTATGTATCCCCTTATAGTAACCCATTATGTCATTGTATGTATCCCCCTATATAGTAACCCATGATGTCTTTGTATGTATCCCCTATATAGTAACCCATGATGCCATTGTATGTGTCCCCTATATAGTAACCCATGATGTAATTGTATGTATCCCCTTATAGTAACCCATTATGTCATTGTATGTATCCCCCTATATAGTAACCCATGATGTCTTTGTATGTATCCCCTATATAGTAACCCATGATGCCATTGTATGTGTCCCCTATATAGTAACCCATGATGTAATTGTATGTATCCCCTTATAGTAACCCATTATGTCATTGTATGTATCCCCCTATATAGTAACCCATGATGTCATTGTATGTATCCCCTTATAGTAACCCATGATGTCATTGTATGTATCCCCTAATAGTAACCCATGATGTCATTGTATGTATCCCCTATATTGTAACCCATGATGTCATTGTATGTACCCCCTATATAGTAACCCATGATGTCATTGTATGTATCCCCTTATAGTAACCCATTATGTCATTGTATGTATCCCCCTATATAGTAACCCATGATGTCATTGTATGTACCCCCTATATAGTAACCCATGATGTCATTGTATGTATCCCCTATATAGTAACCCATGATGTCATTGTATGTATCCCCTTATAGTAACCCATGATGTCATTGTATGTATCCCCTATATAGTAACCCATGATGGCATTGTATGTATCCCCTATATAGTAACCCATGATGGCATTGTATGGGTAACCCATGATGTCATTGTATGTATCCCCTTATAGTAACCCATGATGGCATTGTATGTATCCCCTATATAGTAACCCATGATGTAATTGTATGTATCCCCTTATAGTAACCCATGATGTCATTGTATGTGTCCCTCTTATAGTACAATGTCTACCCAGGTATATCAGCCATGTTAGCAGGCAGGCAGTTGTATTTTATTTTCATTAAAAAACGGAATATATACCTCCCTTTTACAACAATAGCTGGAGCTCTTCTTTAAAGCTGAACTCCGGGCACAAAACTTTTCATTTAAATATATTCATCAAAAGCCGCTAAGTATGCAAATCCGCTCTGTGTGCACAAATATCTTAGAAAACTCAGGTATTTACATGTAAAAGCAACAGTGACATCATCACTGTGCTGTACATAGCCTATGCAGAGAGCAGAGCTGTGGGAGGGACCCAGCAGGCCAGGGGGTGGACACAAGACCAATCACCCTGCACAAGGAGAGAGAGCAGCAGTGACCGGTCTTTATTACAGGAGGGGGCGGAGACAAGACCAGTCACCCTGCAAAGGACCAGGCGGGGGATGGGAGGTAAAGGATCGAGTTTGGGAGGGGGGGAGACCTGTACAGTACAGGAAGCAGACTCACCGCAGACAAACAGTAAAAGGAAACAGTCAGCATTGCATCACATAGAGATCCCAGCACTCGTCTCTTCATCTACCTCTGCTGCCAGGTCTGTGTCTGGGGCCTCCGTGGCCCAGCTGAGACCACTGTACAGCTATTGAACATTCTGTAGCCCTAACACATTTCCTATCGTAAAGTGACAACGCTCATTCATTGTACTGGAGGAGAGGCATTGACACTCTAGGACAGGAAGTGTGTTAGGCCTACAGAACACCTTCCCTATGTTGTGGAGATAAGAAGAGTAAGAAGTATCCTGTAGTCCTAGCCTACTTCCCGTCGTAAAGTGACAACGCTCATTCACTGTACTGGAGGAGAGGCATTGACACTCTAGAACAGGAAGTGTGTTAGACCTACAGAACACCTTCCCTATGTTGTGGCGATAAGAAGAGTAAGAAGTATCCTGTAGTCCTAGCCTACTTCCCGTCGTAAAGTGACAACGCTCGTTCACTGTACTGTATCTATTGAGGAACAGCGGTGCCACTCTAGGACAGAATGTGTTTTAGGACTACAGAACACTTCTACTATGTTATGGAGATGAGGAGAGGCAGAGGTGTCCTGTAGTCTTAACACATTTCCTTTCTTAAGGTTACAAAACTCACTCACTGTACTGTATGCAAAGAGGAACAGCAATGTCACCCTAGGACAGGAAGTGTGCTACAGAACACCTTCCCTATATTATAAAGATGAAGAGAGAAAAAAGGAGATAAAAGAGAAGAAGAGATAAAAGAGAAGAAGAGAGAAAAGAGAAGAGGAGAGAGAAGAAGAGAGAGAAGAAGAGAGAGAAGAAGGAGAAGAGAGAAGAAGAGGAGAGAGAAGGAGAAGAGAGAAGAAGAGGAGAGAGAAGGAGAGAGAGAAGAAGAGGAGAGAGAAGGAGAGAGAGAAGAAGAGAGGAGAAGAGAGAGGAGAAGAGAGAGGAGAAGAGAGAGAAGAAGAGAGAGAAGGAGAGAGAGAAGAAGAGAGAGAAGGAGAGAGAGAAGGAGAGAGAGAAGGAGAGAGAGAAGGAGAGAGAGAAGGAGAGAGAAGAAGAGAGAGAGAAGAAGAGAGAGAGAAGAAGAGAGAGAGAAGAAGAAGAGAGAAGAAGAGAGAAGAAAAGAGAAGAAGAAGAGAGAAGAAGAGAGAAGAAGAAGAGAGAGAAGAGGAGAGAGAAGAGGAGAGAGAAGAAGAGAGAGAAGAAGAGAGAGAAGAAGGAGAAGAGAGAAGAAGAGGAGAGAGAAGGAGAAGAGAGAAGAAGAGAGGAGAAGAAGAGAGAAGAAGAGAGGAGAAGAAGAGAGAAGAAGAGAGAGAAGAAGAGAGAGAAGAAGAGAGAGAAGAAGAGAGAAGAAGAGAGAGAAGAAGAGAGAAGAAGAGAGAAGAAGAGAGAGAAGAAGAGAGAAGAAAAGGAGGAGAGAGAAGAGAGAGAAGAGGAGAGAAGAAGAGAGAGAAGAGAGAGAAGAAGAGAGGAGAATAGAGAGAAGGAGAGAGAAGAAGAGAGAGAAGGAGAGAGAAGAAGAGAGAGAAGGAGAGAGAAGAGGAGAGAGAAGAAGAGAGAAGAAAAGAGAAGAAAAGAGGAGAGAGAAGAAAGAGAGAAAAGAGGAGAGAAAAGAGAAGAAGAGATAAAAGAGAAGAGGAGAGAAAAGAGAAGAGAGAGAAGAGAGGAGAATAGAGAGAAGGAGAGAGAAGAAGAGAGAGAAGGAGAGAGAAGAGGAGAGAGAAGAAGAGAGAAGAAAAGGAGGAGAGAGAAGAAAGAGAGAAGAGAAGAAGAGAGAGAAGAGAGAGAAGAGGAGAGAAGAAGAGAGAGAAGAAGAGAGAAGAAGAGAGGAGAAGAGAGAGAAGAAGAGAGAAGAGGAGAGAGAAGAAGAGAGAAGAAGAGAGAAGAAAAGAGAAGAAAAGAGGAGAGAGAAGAAAGAGAGAAGAGAAGAAGAGAGAAGAAGAGGAGAGAGAAGAGAGAGAAGAAGAGAGGAGAAGAGAAGAGAGAGAAGAAGAGAGAAGAAAAGAGAAGAAAAGAGGAGAGAGAAGAAAAGAGGAGAGAGAAGAGAATAAGAAAGGGAAGAGGAGAGAGAGAGGAGAGAAGAAAAGAGAGAGAAGAGGAGAGAGAAGAGAAGAAGAGGAGAGAAAAGAGAAGAGGAGAGAAAAGAGAAGAGAGAGAGAGAGAGAGAGAGAGAGAGAGAGAGAGAAGAGAAGAAGATGAGAGAGAGAGAGAGGTATTCTGTAGTCCTAGCATACTTCCTGTTGCAAAGTGACAACGCTCATTCACTGTACTGTATCTATTGAGGATCAGTGTTGTCACCCTAGGACAGGAAGAGTGTTAGAACTAGGGAACACCTCACCCTTCTAATATTGTACCGTTTTGTTCTGCTATCCAACAAGGACGGTGAGAACCATCACAATGGCCACACCAGGCGTGCAGACATGACACACAGCGTGACGTAGCAGCTTTGGGTGGAGCGACCCTTTGAATGGTAGCGTGACTTCTGAAGGACAATGCAGAGGTATGAGCACAGGGATGATCCCAGAATAGTAACACGCAGGAGTCATGTGTTATCCGCTCGCGGGACGCATCATCTGCAGCGCTGCACTGGCCTTCGGGGTCAAAGTCTATGAAGATTATTTGCTTATCATCAGTGATAACATTCTGCAGGGTGTGGAAGCGCCAACACATACCGACACCTCGCCGCTGCAGGTGAGGACGACCACAGGCAGGAGCCATTTATGTAGAATTGTAGTAGTATTATTATTATGATAATGATGAAAAAC